AGTGCTGTGAATTGGGTAAATGTACAACAGTTAGTCTATAAAGTAATAATACTATTTTATACAAGTGAGAAGGAACATTTCTAATTTAATAGTACAGAACTGGAATTAAATGTAGATCATTTGCATCCATTTTTATCATCAATTAAATGAGAAAGGTTTTTCAATTGAGAAGATAGTTTAAAAAAATTAATTCAAAATATTTCCAAATTTCATTTCATCCTTGTACCTAAGAATTTTTTTATTTTTTTTTTTTCAAAAAAAAAATAAAAAATAAAAAATAAAAATTCCTAATATAATGATTAGAAACATTTTTTCCTATAACAACTAAATTGTATTTTCTGGAATGATGAGTTATTACTAATTACATTCAGACTAAACACCTCATCTTTGTTGTACATTTCAGTCATTGTGACCTCCAACCTTCATCAGGGGCATATCAATCCAGGTGACCTACAAGGAATTCTGAACTAAACCTGTTATTTAATCTACAGGTGTAGATGCTTCTAGTTACACTGCCCATGTCTAATGATATCTCGTCTAGTTCTTATTCTTATTTAGTGAATTTCCAGTTCTACAGGACAATAGCCTAGTGAATTAGCGCTGGTTCCTGAATTTGGTAACATAGTAAGTGAGTTCAATCCCCGGGTTGGGCAATGTGTACTTGAGCTCAGTGGAAACAGGCAAGCAATAACTGAGCAGTACTAAAAATAGTATATAGTCCGAATGTAAATGTATTTTTATTTCATCCTTGTACCTACCGAATGTGTATTGTATTCTTAATAAATTTGCAGGAAATTTCTTAAAAGCAAGAACCAAAAGGAAATTCCTACAAAATGAACTTTAAAAAATTTTTCTTGATATTGAAAATTCACTAACTAAAAAATAGATTTAGAAATTCTACATAATTTGACAGGAGAAATTCAACCAAGTTAACAATGGAAATGATTGTTCCGTGTAATCTAAAGATATCTTTTCAGAAAATAGAAAGAAATTTGGAAATAAATTTACCTATTTTCTACTTATAAATTTCCAGTATTAAAGCGACTTACATAGTTTTAATTTTGCGTTCGAAGACAGTACACTAGCATTGTAAAATCCTTTAAATTAATATACAATAACATGGTTAAGTATTGTGAGAGTTACTTCCCTTGTTGAATGAATAATGAATTACCTCCCTTATTGTGTTTTCTTTTTAAGCAAAATTCTTTATTACACTTGCATAATAAAACAAAAATAAACGCTTATATTTGTATCTATTCTTTTTTCCTTCTAAGGATAGAGTAAAGTAAAACTGACGTATTACACCTCAAGGTCTAACTTAGCCTGAGACATCTAGCTAGAAATGTATTTATAGTATAAATTTAATTATGTTAACTATTTTATTTTTAAAAATACGTACAAACCAATAAGAAATGTAATAAGGTTGGTTTATTTCTTGTAAACTGTCCAAAATTAGAATTCTGTTTTCCTTAATATATATAAAAAAAAAAATAGTTCTGACCTGATACAAAAATTGGTAAAATGCAGAATCACAAAAGCCTAAATATAAAACTCAAATAACAATTTAGCTTACAGTGGAGCCAGATTCTTCTAACAGAAATATATAGAAAATGTGGCCTGAATAATTTGAAAGTGATATTTCTGTTTTAAAGAAACAAAGTCAAAATCTTTAAATGCCTAAGCTCAGCTTCAAGTACAGTCCAACTTTGTCAAAAAATTGACATTGGAACTTATTTATGATTGTTAAATAGCATAGAAATATTCATTGATAAAAAAATAATTAATAGATATGTAAATAATAAGGTAACTTGTAATAGTATTTGCTAAATTTTGGACCAATAAGGAAAGCATTATGTGTGTTGTAGTAACACAAAATAAACAGAGGGATTATTGACATTGAAAAAGAATCATTTATATTTCATAAAAGATTAAATAGCAACAGTGAAACATTAGCATATTAATCAGTTTGAGAACTGGATTTTAACATTAACATGTCTAAACAATAACCTTGAATTACTCTTAACTGTTAATGTATAACATTTAGAAAACAATTGCACAGATTTAAAATATGAAATTAATTTTTTTAAAGCTTCACTTTTATTCAATTCAACATGTATATTTCAAATCCTAATTCACTTTTCTTTTTTTTTTTTAAATACTGATCAGTTTTTCAGTTGTTTTGTAGTTACCACATTTTAGCTGATATAGCCTTTTTTGGATGTAAACTCTACATGGAAAGAGGGCTGAGGCTCTGATATAAATTGACACCAAATTATTCTCTTAAAAATAAGTAAGAATGAGATCAATAGACAAAAAATTTCTTGCAATAATAATGACACTTCAAAATTGCAGAGTTACTTTAAATTATATTTAAAAATTAAATTCAATAACAAAAATTAATTTATAACAATTTTATATAATTTTTTAAATCGAATTGATAATACTCTCAATGACATGTTAATAAATGAGAATATATTTAGATAAAAGGGTAATTGGTAAATTAATGAGTAAAGTTAACAGATTAATTTTAAATCCATTTTCTCTTTCAATAAAACATTCTTAGTCTTCCACATTTTGAAATTTATAATAGCTAAAATATAACATCAACATTCAATAAAGAGAAGAAAAAAGGAAGATGGAGATTTAAGTCTGAGTGTGGATATTTGCCATACCCATCAGAAGAGGTACAACACTGAGTTTAGGCAAGTGACATTTTGACCCTAAATAGAGCACAAAAATGTTACACTCTGTTCTTAGGCTAAAGTGCTAATCCATTTACTATGCACTACAAAGCCATTAAAAATATTTACTAAGCTTAGTAGGCCAGTCATATTGAACTCATTATCCTAGACAACGGCTTACAAGATGAGTTTGTTAACCGTCACACTATAGTAGTTATCTAGGATTTTTCTTTTTCTATGAATGTTCCATGAATTTTATTTTTTGACAAAGCAGTGAACTTCAATAAGTATTTATCGAGCTACCATACAGCGATGTATACAGTTTGGTTTGTCACTGGGAACTCATTCCTAAAACAGTAGCTCCCACTTGCATTAAAAGGTAAGGATCAAATAATTCCTTAATGTCTACAGTGTAATCAAAGTATTACATGCATTGTTTTAAAAGCCCATATTAAATAAGCAATTTCATGATTTTTTTTATTTTGTATCAAGTACATATACCCATATTTTGGGATTGAAATTTAAATAATTTATAATGTTTTAATATAAGAATAAAAGCAAATTCAATTTAACTAGTTTTAAAAATGTGACCTATCAACCAACATCTCTTTACTTAGGGCAATACTTGAATAATACTTGTAAAAAAAATTTTTTTTTAAAATCACAGTCTAAAAAATAAGAGAGTGGAGTGCTGAAAAGTTCTCTGCCTGACCCAATTTCAAGAATCTGATCAAATGACCAAAAAGTAGAAATTTGTAAACTTTCCAGAATCTCTTCATATAAAGAGAATATATCCATATTAAAATGATCCAGAACAAAGTTAATCCCACAATTTGCAACTTGATAATATTAGCGTAGCATCTATGTTAATATTTACCATGACAACATGATTTTTGTTTGTGTTTATTACACAAAAAATGAAAAGTAAATCACTTCAACATTGAAAGATAAAATATCAAAGTTAGTAGTTGCTCCACAAAATAAGATTTATACAATACTTACTTTTATATAAAAATATTCATTAAAAACAAAAAATAAATGCATCATTATTTTATACAAATTTTTTTCTGCTTTTCCCTTTTCATCAGAAATATTTTCTCAATTGTAAGCATGTCTGTTCAAAAATCATTTAAATTAACAGAAGTATAAGTAAATTTTAAATATACTTTGGTCAATAAAAGAATAGTCTCCCCTTATTTCATTTGCAAACTCATTGTGAAAAAATTCAGACGCTTTAATTTCTAAGTTTTTGTTTTTTTAAAAAACAAAATGAACGTTTGTAAAAATCCAAATGTAATTTTTTTCTAAATCTGTCATTCATATATATATATATATATATATATATATATATATATATGCACATACAAATTAAATAAAATTAGGATGTATGATTTTTGTAAAAGAATATTCCAATTTGTTCTGCTCTTTATAGAAATCATCTTCATTGCCTTGAGAAATTTATTATTTGAGAAAGTTTAAATTTTAAAGTTGAATTGAATTGGCTTCAGAGTAAAGATCCAATTAAAAAATATTCATATGTCAAACTTAATCATGATTTTGTCAGATACTGACATTGAATGTTCAATTTGTTATAAAAAATACGGCTAAATGGGTTTTTCCATCTTTTTATATATATATATATATATATATATATATATATATATATATATTATATAATTTTAAAGTACAGAAGCCTAAAAAGTAAAATAAAATACAAATGATAAATTCAACTTTATCATTTTAAGCTGGATGACTTTCAAGTGTGTTCATAATAGACTAAAAAAAATTGAAACAAACAGTAAAAGCCAAGATTAGCATTATACTTACATTGTAAATCAAATTATTTAGAAAATAATTTCTCAAAGAAATGAAGATCTTACTCATTAAAAGAACAAAAATAAATAAGGAAAATATATTTTCCAACAAAAATACACAATTTGTCTTAATCACCTTTCTCATATTTTTTTTTTCATTCATAAATTTTGGATTACAACTAGAATCATCATCAGTCATTCACTAACAAAAACTGGTACCAACATCTATGTAACTGGGATGGGGAACCCCCACCCAGGACAGATGTGGTCACTTACAACAACTGCACATCACCTAGGAACCTTCCCAATGCTTTCTGAAATTTTCCATTTGTGGTAAGTCATGTCAGCACCTGAAAAACTTTTAGATTTTGGAGGTTTTCGGATAAAGGATACTCAACCTGTACAAGCAGACACTCAATCAATCAGGCTTGAGTAAAATTAACAATTTATTTACACTTTATTTTAAAAAAGGGAAACAGAAATGAGATTAATATGTCAGATAGTGTCATTTTATTTTAGACAGTCCATTTTCATCCCATTCATCTTCATTAACATCGTAATCAACCATCAATTTACTCATATTTAGCCAGTAACCAATGACACCAACATCCACAATGCTTTTGTAAAAATCCAACCATCGCACTTTCAATTTACTACAGCGAGCAAAATAGAGGTCTACGTCTTGAGTGTAATTGTCCTCATAGATCAGTGAACAGACCCCCAGATTGACATAGATGAGTTTACGGTCTTTGAAGTTGTCAAGAAGAAATTTTATATATTTTTCAGATTTTGGGCTTCGTACTGGTTGACCAACAAGAGAAAGGTCATTGGCATTTTCCATTAAATTCACTTTAAAGTCTCTTTCACTTGGATTTGTCTTTATAAGAACACCAACAGTTCCAATTGCTGTAATGTAAGCTGAGGCTTTTATTGGTTTCACTTTCATTTCCTGCCAGGTTTCCATAGCTACAACTTTGTAGTCATTGTAAATATTGTAAAAGTAATTACCTGAAAAAAAAAAAAAAAAAAAACAATTATAAAATATTTATGAAGTAAAATTTGAGCAACATTTTCTTTTAAATATTTAAACTGATTAATAATATAAATTCACAATTGAAATAAATTTATATTACATTTTGGATGCAAAAAGAGGTAGGCCTGAAAATTTTAATTGTGTATTTTTTATGTTACAAAATGTTTTCTCATTTTTTATGTTACAAAATGTTTTCTAATAATATGAGGAGAAGTAGAGCAGACTTAAGGAAGTAATTCATTATCCGATATGTGGAAATTGTTTCGGATGCTAAACTGAAAGATATTTTTCAGTTAACAAGTTTCCAAATGTAACATTTAAAGTTTGTTTAGTTAGTTCCTGAATTCCAGTTTTTAAGAAAAATTTGAATATGCAAATATTGAATATTCTTAGTTTTTGTGAGGTTTTTAAACTGTTTTAAAACAATTATTTTTTTAAATTTATATAGTTACTGTGGTGTGGTTCCTTACAACCCTTATGAAAAACAACTCGAGGTACCACTTAAATAGACTGGTCTACTCGTAAAAAACTGAGAAATGTATGCTATGCAGGTATCAATGATGTAAAGCAGTTTCAAACTTGACATTTGTAAATAATAGTGAAGTCCAATATCTCTGTAAAAAAAAGTCAGAGATCGATTTTACAATACGAATACACACTGGACCTCATTTTTAAAATGATTTAAAAATTCAATATTTTTTCGATTCTAATTTTTTTTATGAGCGGGCCAGTCTACTTAAGTAGTGCTCGATTCGAATAAAAAGAAAGGTTTAAAAGGTTATGAGATTTACTGTCGGGATACGAAACAACAAACACCAAAAATCACTCACGATTCATGTTAGAAAATTGATACAAGCAATCTTTTCAGAAATATATGTTTCTTGTAAGAGTTATTTCTACTTCAAAAGAAATTTTTATTTCTATTATTACTTAATCAAAATAATTACGTTTTTTAGTAACACGCCTTTGTTTTTTTTATTTCGATTAACAAAGCTGCATAGGGGTCGGAAATGTATTTTTAATTAAAATGGTCAATTAATTGCTGTGAGTTACTGTATTGTAGTTGTAGTAAAAAAAACTTAGTACACACAAACTAACTCACAGGAAGCATGGTGCGTACTAGTAGAAGAAATTTTGAATGCTACAAAGAAGAAATACAAAAATTGTAATAAGCATTAAACGACCTTCAAAATGTTATATTTACAACCGACCGAAGTCACTTCCCATCGGAATGTCTCATGGACATATGTAACACATGTTCTGGTTTAAAGAAACCAAACGTAAATCTAATTTACACATTTCATGACATGAGATCACTCACCAATTCTCTGTGCTCGAGTGACAATAAATGTTTTAGTTGAATCAAATTTGGCCGGTAAAAATTTTCTAGGAAAAGTTTTAAATGTCCTCACCACGTTTCTTGCCGCCATGATTGCAGCTTCGCAGTAAATGATATTCGCGTTCTTGTTCGATAACTTATTTTTGCTATTCTTTCATTCTAACTTCTAAACGTTTTCATATAAAAGCTAAATAATTTTAATTAAAAGAAAATTGGATTAAACATGTTATTTATTAATAACGAGTATTAATACGTTCTTACATACACATATAATTGAATAAAAAACGAAAATTTAAAAAATATCAATTTCGGTAGAGCAACGGTTTTTGGCTCAGAAAGGCGGAATCGACCTGCCGAGTTCGAATCCCCACTTCGTCTATTACGTTAATTTTTGGCACAAATGCCATTAAGAAATCCATCTCTTCTTGCAAACGCCCACTCACCTAATTATGGACATAGTGAACTGGACACTTTAGTCTTGAATAGCACCCAGTCTAGAAGAATAAAAAAATTCATAATCACGGAAGATCTCTCCACTGTCTTTCCTAAGAAATAAATGGGAACACCCAGTTAATAAAGGAAAAAAAAAAGAAAAAAAAAAGCAATGTGTGGAAAGTATTGATCACCTACGTTCTGAAAGTATATGTATTAAAAAAGAATACGAACTTCTTTTTTTTTTTCAAAAATACATTCTTCACCTAATTCATTTTGAAACCTAATTTGTCAACTGAATCCGTGCAACTAGACACTTGCAATTTTAATTTGTTCTTTAGACATAAGAGATGAAGATAGTTTGTAAAAATGTCAATATTTCTTTATTGCATACAAACATATTTTTACAGTATTTTTTTCAAATTTTATGCATAAGATAAAATGCGAGCGCACGCACGTGCACAAACACACGCAACGTATTTCCTGCCATATAATATGCCTCGATATATAACACACACCTATATAATCTAGTAAGGAATATATATTGAAAATTGATTATTCACCATAATTGTATAGCATTTTCAAACACTTTTGTTTGATTTCAAATCACAATTTAATCATTTCATTCTGGGTTCATCAAGGGCGCCCAGGTGAGGGACTATATTGTGATTGTGTCTCACTGTCAAACAGAGGTGTTGAGGACCTAAACACCTCTGTACGTAAACTTTCTTTAGGTATTACTAGTCTAGTGAAGGACATCCAACCATCGGGATAAAATGTAGGGTAATTTTGAGAGAAGATTTATTTGTACTGTTGCGGGCGTGATGCTGGTTGTGTTTGGGTCAGAAAACACGTGTCTCCTGGTATATTTATCCCGTAACAAAAATGGCAGTCTCAAATGTGAGTCCGGGTAATAAATAAACAAATTAACAACAAAACTATATATATATATATATATATATATATATATATATATATATATAAACAAACGATAATGTATGTATTAACAAAACAAAGGTATACATAGACAATTAAAGATTATTGCTTGTGGCAAAACAATGAATATGAATGAAGAAAACATTTAAAGATTAAAGAATGTGTTTGTGTATACAAAATGTGTGTAGAAGAAGTCCTTTCTGTTTTACTGTAGGAGTTTTATTAACTTCTTTTAGATTCCAAAAACATTTAGAAAGAGATGTACTATCTTTATAAGTACTATTGGTGAAGGATAAGATATACTGGTACCACCTCGTCTTAAAAGAATTCTTAATACTCCCTATATAAAATTTTTCAACAGTCGGATTTTCTATTGTAGAAATAGTACTTCGATAAACAAGAGAGTTGGTCATACATTGGTTTTACAATGGGCATTCGTTAGAATTCCTGCAATTACATTGTTTAATATTATCAATAGTATTTACCTTGGAATTTGAATTATTTAGCTTTTTAAATTGGTTTAAAATTGTATTATTGTGCTTCTTTATAATCTTCTCATGATTATCGCTGCAGCTATAACTTAGTTTTAGTGTGTCTCTGCTAAATATTTTACTGAGAGGATTATTTCTAGGGAAAACCAAATGATTTTCCTATTCCTATTTCTTTTCCTTAGATCGCTATTATCATGTTTTCTATACTTGATTTCTACAAATACCGATTTTTAATAAAAAATATCTTTTTCTCAAATGACGACACACAACACGAGTTATACAACATGCAAGTCAAAAGAAAAATTATCTGCCTTTCTTAACAGGAAAAATGTCAATTATTTGGTCAACATTTTCTCAATAAATATATTAACTTGCTTTCGCCTAATATTTAGTCTCATCCGACAGTTTAATCGTGTCTGACCCGTTGTAATAAGCAATGGCTGGATGCTCGTTTCCATGTGTACCCGTTTGCTAGTGTGGCTAGTTAATCCCTGTTGTAAACCTAAGTTATTGTTTATGGGAGAGAACGCATAATCTCATGTTATCAGTGGTCGAACAAGGCCAGCACGCTGAAACCTTCGGTCACGATTATTTGCGACTTCGCGCGAGCACAGCCGTCGTCGGCTTCCGAACAGTTTCGTCATCCTAATATAACCCACAAGCCTTGGTTCACCCATGGTATGGCTTTCAGGCGCTTCCCAAACGTTACGTACGTTGGGATCGTTTCTCCAGGTTGATATTATCAAGAGGCGTTACAACTCCTATTTTGAAGGCTGGCAGTTCGCTATGGATATTGTTCTGGTAAACGGTTGCTGACATTGATGACTGCTCTTATCGAACAGTAACTTTTGAATATAATGAATGTGTATGGTGTATGAAAAGTTTGCGTAATCACCTTGAGATAGTAGTAATAATAATAATTAATTAATTATTATTATTATTATTATTATTCCCCTCCTTCTTCTCGGATGTGCTGAGCTGTCTACCATTCTCCTCCATCTTTCGCGGTCGTATGCTAGAGACTGGGTCTTCTAGAATGGTTTCTTGGTGTGCTCGTCATGTGGCGTGTCTTGGGTGTTTTAACCTGGTGGAGCCCATCTCTTTCCAGGCGATATAGCCAAGTCCAAAATGTATGTCTTGATTATTACCTTGAAACTGTGAACCGGTTTTTCTTTTTCCAGTTTTCAAAAATAAAAATGTTACTATGCATAAACACTGTATAGGATTAACACAAAGTTTTACACTTGGTAAGCCAAAGATAAAGTTCAAATCATTCACTCTTGAAATTTCTCAAATTAGACTCTACCTAATATTTGTGTTGACAAAATTACCTGATATGATTCAATTTTAGTGATATTTTCTGTCTGAATTTCTGGTTTGAGGAGTTATCATTCTTGACATGCGGACTATTGTCTTCACCTTTGATGTTACCACAACGCTTCGGCCGTTGTGATCTCCAGGAATTAACAATATCATCTTCAGGGAATTTTGAACTGAACTCTTTATCTAACCTATGAGGGTAGATTGTTCTCATTCCGTGGATCATGTTTAGGGATATCTCTTCTTGTTCCTTTTTTAATATTGCTCAGTTATTGTTCGCCCCATTTCCATTGATTCTTAACTGCTGTTGTTCCCATGTCCACCCTGACCCGGGGTGGTAGCACCTGTTAGGGTCCCAGCTATGTGTAAATAGTGAACCTCCCGCCAAAAAAAAAACCTTATGAATGCATAAAAAATATTTTTATAGTAAAATTACCAACATTACCTGCTTATTGCAAAATGACCAGCAATACATTTTATAGTAGAATGACCAATAATACATTTATCTGTAATTTTATCATGCAGCTGTGTTCAAAATATATTTAGTTGAAGCCATAAAACTGTGTTCAAAATATTTACGTTCGGTATTAAATAACCCATAGAAATGTTTATATGCCGCCAAACAAAATTAACCAGACCAAACGAACCAATGCTTTGATCCACTAGATTATTACCCCGTGGGACAATTCTAAAGAAAATTTGGAGCCTTCACTCTCAACCCCATAACAAAAACAAAGACGAGGACAATAGTCAGCATGCAAATAAGGGCAACTTCTCATCCCAATAATTTAGAAAAATAATCGAACTGGTAGAGACGTGATGCGAAAAACTAACGGAGGCGATCAAAAAGACTCCATAAAAATGGCACGGATGTTAAACTATCTGATATTCCTATATAGATACAGAGACTTAAAGCTAGTTCCACCAGGTCTATCAATCAAGACATCGTTCAGTTGCAGGAGAGCACAAAGAGTAATGGAAAAAAAAAAGAAGCATGGCACGCCCATGTGAAGGAAAAGATTCTCTACAACTGCTGGAAGAAACATTAGTTGAATCATGAACTCTCCGAACAGAACAGGACATAGCAAAATAAAACTTGTCTCAGATAAATGGATAAATTATACAATCAGTAATTTCAAAGGGTCAAGTCTTGCCGAATAAGGAAACTAGCACAAATGAAAGAACAGAGCAGTAGTAGCAACAAAACCCACTACTGTTTGGTAAGAGCAACTGTTAATACCAGTAATCGGCAGTTGAGTGCCTCTGAGGAATCGGTGCTAAACAAAGGTCTCAAATTCGCCACAACTATCAGGCATGTCCCATACTTAGACGTGGTAACTCTAGTTGAGGAGGCTGCCTTGAAGATATCTAAAGTCCAGGCAGATGAGCTAAAGTCGAAAATGAGACAAGCATTAGAAAAGGACAAATTAAATACCAAAAAGAAAGGTCGGCAATCGAGCCCTTACAGAATGACACTAGTATCATCACACTGCTGGTTGACAAAAAAATCGAGAAATTGGCAAGCCGAGTTAGGGATGGTAGCTATAGCAAGGTGAAAAAGAATCTGACCCTAAAAACTAAGATGACGCTATCACAGATCCTAAATAAGAACAAGAACTTCTTCATATTGAATAAGTATAGAAAGCTGACTCAAAATTACATTAATGGGCCACATATGTCTGGACTCCCAAAATCACTGTTGATATTCCATTGAAACCTATAGTAGGCTGCAAAGATTCGACATTCTACCCGCTGAACAGATTCCTGGTGGATATAATCAACCCATTAACAGGGAAGTCCTCGTCATATATTTAGAACACTTTGTGGAATCGGTCTAAGTAGTTCCCATAATAGCAAGCCTGATTGGGGGGGCGACAAGTGTTTTTTGACCCTCGCTATCTTATCAAGATTT